TCCCTCCAACCAACCAGTGTCCCTCCATCCAACTAACATCCTTCCATCCAACCAGCATCCTTCCATCCAACCAACACCCCTCCATCCAACCAACACCCCTCCGTCTACCCTGTGCTCTCCCAATCCTATGCATGTGCAGCATGAGGACAGCCCACACCTGCCTCATAACCTACCATGTCACCTGTGCTCTACAGAATAAGGGGTGTTTCACAGGTACGCTGAACGGAGGGACACACATCTTTTCAGATGCTCTGCTCCTGCCCTGCATTGGGAAAGCACTCCTGGGGAAAGAGAGATACAGAGGACACTGTCTGTATGAAAGGGCCTCTTACAGACCCTTAAGGTCCCAGGTGACTGTCCACTTAAGCAGCCCTGGGCTCTGTCTCCTCTGCAGACCGCTGGCCGGACCTCCAAGCTAGTTCGTCAGCCCTCCATCGAGTTGCCCAGCATGGCTGTGGCAAGCACCAAGAGCCGGTGGGAGACAGGAGAGGTGCAAGCTCATTCTGCTGCCAAGGGCCCCTCCTGCAAGGTAGGACCCCTTCTGGGCAAGGCTGCGCTCCTTTGGTGAGACAGGTGTGAGATCACCTGGCTAAAGGGTGGGCAGATGGAGCACTGGAGCCCGTGGCTGGCCCTGAGCGTGGAAAGTCATGTGGAGAGGGCTGGCTCTCGTACAAGGAGGCAGGTAGGCAAGCCCTGGGCCCCTGGCCAGGTGAGCCCAGGCAGGAGAGGAAGGCCCAAGCCTCCGAGTGCCCCCTAGTCAGCGGTCTGCCCCTGTGACGTGCCCCTCCGTTTGTCCCCAGGATATTGTAGCTGGAGACATGAGCAAGAAAACCCTCTGGGAGCAGAAAGGAGGCTCCAAGACTTCGTCCACAGTTAAGGTAGAGCCTAAACGTGGTTGATGCCGGGAAGGTGGGTCCAGCAGCTGAGAGCAAAGCGATGCCATCCTCAGTACGCCTGGGAGGGCTTCCCGGAGGCAGCGTCTTCTCCCTTCTGCTGCGCTCACCTTTGCTCTTGGTCTCCTTCCCCCACAGAGCACCCCGTCTGGGAAGAGGTACAAGTTTGTGGCCACCGGGCATGGGAAGTACGAGAAGGTGCTCATGGATGAGGGCTCAGAGCCCTAGGCCACCCTTCTTGGTGAGTCCAGGGCAGTGGCCACGTGTGGGTGAAATGGGCCATTCTGGGAATGTGGCAGCATGGACAAGGCCTCCTTGTCCATGTCCCAGGCTGTAAGGGAGCTTGTGAGGGCCAGATGCCCAGCCTCAGACCTGGCAAAAACCCAGACTGCTTGGTCTCCCAGCCCTTCAGATGTGCCCCCACCGCCATCTGACATCAAACCCTGTTCCTTCCAAGACCTCGGCCCGTCTCAGCCATTCTCTGAGGGGGGAGCTCAAACCTCCCTCCTGGGAAGAGGCTACATGTCCCGTCTGGGCTCCTTAGGCAGGTGAGGTTGCCCCCGCCCCTGCAGGCCTGGCGTTGCAGGAAGTCCGTGGGATGGAACCCTAAGAGCTCGGGTCCTTCTTGATGGTGCACTGAGGGTCTAAAGTGTCCAGGACCCGGGTCTCACCCTCCTGGCCCAGAGGGGGCCGCTTCAGTTTCCAGCGCCCTCCCCGTCGTCTTGTGTAGTCAAAAACGTGACCCACTGCCGTGGCGTGACACACTTTATTAGTGGCCTGGGCCCCAGGATCCATCCATAGCACCCGTGACGTCCTGGGGAGGGGAGGCCACCTGCCCCCTGTCTATGCTGCTTCCCCGCCTGAGTCCCGCTCCCGCCCCAAGGAGCTCCGTGCCCCTAACCCATCAGCCTCACAGTTCACGGCCCAGAGCGTCCAGAGGCTGAGCCCGGCCTGCCTCCCTGCCCGCCAGGCTGGAGACAGGGCCAGGCCCTCCACGCCAGGTCAGTCTGTCCAGCCGTCTGCCTCGCAGTAGACTCGGGTGCTTCTCACAGAGCTTCACGCACCCTGTGAGCCCCCACGCTCTGCACACAGGAAACGCCTCCTCCCTGTCCCTCCTGCTGCCAGCCTCGCCCCACCACCCACCCTGCCCCTCCATGCTCCGTCCACCGGACCTGTCCCTCCTGACTGCCCAGCCACCCCCAGGTTTCCTCAGTGCTCAGCGGGCCCCTCCCAGGTCCGTCGGGCCCTGCTGGACCTTCAGCCCCCCTCTGTCCACGCCACAGTCCTAGGCCCTACGGCCGCCCCGCCGGCCATTCACCGGAACCTCCAGCCGGTTGCCGTCCGGTTGAAGTTCTTGGGCTGGGGGCTCAGCTCCAAGACCGAGGGGATGGTCGGGGGGGCCCGGGTGGCCACTTCCTGCAGCTTCCGGGCGTTGAAGTGGGGCCGGTACAGGAAAGGCAGGCGGCTGAGGCTGGCCAGGGAGCGCCCCTCGTCCCTGGGCCCCTCAGGGCCACCACCGCGGGACTCGGCCACCGACACGCGGTACAGCACTGCGTCCCACAGCCTGGAGGCCCGGGAGGCGGGGGGCCGGGGTGTCCAGTGGGCGGGGGCTGCCACCTCCTGCTCCGTGCGCTCAGGCTTCTGCTCAGGGCCCAGGAACGGGGGCTCCTCCGCCTCCTGCATCAGCTGCTTCTTGAGGCGTGTCCAGCCGCTGAGCCGAGGCTTGGGCACGACTTTGGGGACAGGGCAAGGGTGCGGGCCTGACGGTGGGGTGGGGGCTGAGGCCCCTTGGAGGCTGGAGACCTGTTTGGCCTCAGCACCAGGGACAGCCGTGGGGGGGTCCTCAGTGTCGGGGGCCGCAGGGGCTGGCCTGTAAGGTGAGGGTCCCGGCGAGCAGATGGGGACTACGGGCACCACGACCCGGCTGCTGCCCTCTCTGGGCCCTGAGGCCTGGAAGCAGGGAGGCGGCTTGGGCACAGGGGGCACCTCAGGCCAGGGCCTGGCAGCTGCGGCCCTGGTGGGAAGTGGGCGGATGTGGGCCACCGGGATGGAGGGCTGGGACCCAGGAGGGCAAGAGACTGTGCCTTGGTCCTGGCCGCCAGGGCCCCCATCTGGGGCCATCCGAGGAGGCTCAGGGGTCCCAGCCCGTGGGGACGGCACCAGCTGGATGTGTACTTGACTGACGTGGGTGCCCCCCACTGCAGGGCCCAAGACTTGGTCAGAGCCACTGGGGGGCCAGGGGGCTTCTGGGGCTGTGGGCTGGGGCCCCGGGGCCTTGACATGAGCTGCCAGGCTCCTGCACTGGGTGAAGCTGAGGGAGGAGGCGGAGGGCTTCTGCGGGGGTGACGCCACATGGTGGATGACAGGCGTGTGCGGGGCGCCGGCCAGGGTGGACGCCACACACCAGGTCTCGGCAGGGCGTGGGGCCGTGGTCTCTTGGTCATGGCTGGCCTCGCTCACGGGGGACAGGGAGGCACGAAAAGCCCCTGGTGGGGCAGAGGGCCCGCCCCCCATCACCTTCTTCCGGGCCGCCTTCCTCAGCAGCCTCTGCAGACGCATGTTGTCCTTCCCAGGCTTGGGCAGCAGGGGCGGTGGGGGACCAGGAGGCCCCTGGGAACACGAGCCAGCCGCCTCAGGGGGCATCGAGGCCGTGGAGATAAGCATTGCTGCACCCTGGGGTGGGGAGGGACAGACGTCAGCTGGCAGGGAGGACACACAGTCCTCCTGTTGTGCGGGGGGACCTGAGGCCCAGAGGAGTCGCTGCCTGACCGGCGGAGCCTGGCTTCCTGAGCGTGGGCACCTGCCAGGTGCATTCCAGGCACGTCTGTCGGCAGCAGGAACTCCGCGGGGCGGCTGTGCCATCACCCCCGGTTAGAAATGAGCCCACAGAGGCCTGAGTCACTGGTGGGTGATGGACGAGGACTGGAGCCTGCCTCCAGGTGCCCCTGTGTGCACCGCCGGGGCCGGGAGACCCACGGGCCAGCTCCAAGTGGGGGGCACGTGTTGGGCCGGGCACCCGTGTAGGCAGGAAGAGCGCCCGTCCGCAAACGCGTGAGGGGCGCCGTGCCGTCGCCGGCCCGACCACAGGCGCGTCCGCTGTGAGCCAGCGGTGAGGTGGCGGCCAGAGGCTCAGAGAGCTGAGGCTGCATCATCAGAGGTAGATTGGCCTGGATGTGGGAGCCATTTCGCTGAGCTACGCTAAACGGGGTCTTCCCGCAGACCTCCTGGCTGGAGTGGTCCCGGCCAAGCCGCCCGCCTTGGTTTCTGGGCGCCACGTGCTTGCAAGGACATTGACAAATGGTGTCTGGGCCAAGCCAGAGGCTGCTAGTGTCGGGGAGGAGGGAGGCTTGGGCCAGCTGGCTCTGCCAGGTAGGAGGGGTCGGCCTGGGGAGGGGCCCCGGGGCTCATTTGGGGCTGCCCACCTCTGGGGGGCCAGGCCCCCAGGAACTCCAGGTCTGGCTCTGGGGAGCTGCCAGGCTAGCAGACAAGCAGGTGGTGGGCAGCATTCCCTCGGCCTTGAGTCCCCAGCAGGGCCCAGGGCACCAGAGCTCAGCCTGGGGAGGCAGACCTCCAAGATGGAGGGGGGCGGAGGCAGGAGGCTGCTTAGGTGGCTGGAAGGGATGGTGGGCAGGTCCAGGGTGGCCACCAGGGAGAGGCTGGAGGCTGGGAGAGGCCGGACCGCCCTCCCAGGACTGCGGCCTGAGTCCCCTCCCACCTGTGTTGCAGCTCCCCTGATGCAAACCGGCGGCTCCCTGCACACTCCCAATCCAGGCTCCCAGGGGAGAGTCCGGCACACGTCCACCCCCAGCCCTGCCGAGGAAGCTGCTTCCCGGTGCCCACCTGGCTGCCCACGCCCCTCCAACGCCTGCCACTGCTGCCACCTCTATCCCTGGACCCTCCCCCCTCTCCTCCCTCCTGCTCCCTGAGCCCCTGGGCTCTGCCTCTCATGGCCCAAGGAGGAAAGGGACTCTCACCGATGCTTGGCTAAAGGGACCGTCCCCACAAAGGCCAAGGGCTCAAAAGGAAGGCGCAGCCTGTGCAGACTCCCAGCCGAGACCACCAATGCCCACGCTGGGTGCTCAGGCCCTTGTCCCGCCCTGCACCCTGCTTGCAGCCCCTCCGTTCGGTGTAATAAAGCTCTTCCTGACCCACGCTCTGGCCCTGCAGTGCTCACTAACTAGGGGAGCGGCGCGGGGGCGGGGCTGGCTGAGCTGCAAAGGCCATCTGCCCACACACACTGTGGTGGGACCCAGGCCTGTGGCCACTGGGTTCAGACACTCTGTCCTGTCCTGTGGCTTCTGGGACCTGGGGTGCGTGGTGGCCTACGTCAGGGCACACGTAATGGCTCTGACGGCTCCTCCTTTGGCCTGATGGAAACTTTGCAGCATCTGAAACAGGGTGTACTCTGTGCACCACCTGAGGACAAGACCTACCTGGGGGTCATCCCCCATCCCAGCACCCAGGAGGTGCTCGATGAAGGTTTGGGGGATGGACGGATGGATGGATGATGGGTGGATGGATGCAGAGATGGAGGGAGAAATGGTGGATGGATGGTGGATGGATGGATGGATGGTGGATGGATGGATGGATGGATGGATGATGGATGGACAGATGGATGGATGATGGGTGCATGGATGGATGGATGGTGAATGGATGGATG